CAGGGAGCAGCTGCTGGGCAGAGGGTGGCGGGAAGCCCGGGGCTGGGCTCAGGCCGCTATGCCCTAGGGCGGGTTTACCCCGAGCGCTCCCGGTGCGGGAGATGGGCGGGCAGGTGGGGCCGGCTCCCTGCCGAGGCTGAGTAACCCTTGTTCTCGCTAGTTTCTGGAGCAGAAGTACGGCTACTACCACTGCAAGGACTGCAACATACGCTGGGAGAGCGCCTACGTGTGGTGTGTGCAGGGCACCAACAAGGTAGGCCTGGTGCTCCCGGGCCCATCCCTCTGTACCTTGGGCCCTGGCTGCTACTGACCTGCCCTCCCCCTTTCTGTAGGTCTACTTCCGGCAGTTCTGCCGGACCTGTCAGAAATCCTACAACCCCTACCGTGTGGAGGACATCACTTGCCAGGTGAGAACAGCCCCAGGGGCCTGCCTCAGGGAGGTGAGCTTGTGGGTCCTTCCTCTGCCATTTCTTCTAGTGAGCCTGGGACCTTGAACTGGACTCTAGCAGCCTCATTCTCTGCCCTGAGCAGGCTGTAATCTAAACTACTGCAGCTAATATTGCTCCCTGCCCTAAGCTGGCAATCTGCTGCATGTATCATCCCCCTTCAGATGCTTTCTCCAACCCCCCTTCTTTCTAGAGCTGTAAGCAGACCAGATGCACCTGCCCTGTGAAAGTGCGCCATGTGGACCCCAAGAGACCCCATCGTCAAGATCTCTGTGGGAGATGCAAAGGCAAACGTCTCTCCTGTGATAGTACATTTAGTTTCAAATATATTATTTGACTGGGATACTTGTTTAAAGAATCTTGGTGTAAAATTACAATCAAAACATAGCTTTTCTTTTGAAAGAATATATAATATGGTGAGATGTAGCTGGGCAAACCTACAAATAAAGGTATGGCAAAGCACTGGCATAATTGAGGCATGCTTATGTCTACCTTACTTAATGAAAGTTACAACATTCATAGTTAAGAATGAAAGAGAAGACTGTCAGCCACAGCTATTCTTCGTTGTATGACTTTCATGTTATGTTTCTGCTTCTGGCGGAGGCAGAAATGTGACCTCTATGCTTTCAGAGACCTTTCTGGGATGGGAGTTAGACAGTTGTGTGTCAAACTGAGGTACATTTTTTCCCCAATTACACTCCATAAGAGATGGATGATTTAACACAATGGAAATCAGTGGTATCCTTCTACAAACAGGCACACTACCTAGAATTTCAATTGAACAACATCGTCTACAGTCACTAACTACTGTAGGAGTTGCATACAACTTTCTTTGTCTACCAAACACTTTCACACTTGACTAGGGAAAGGGGTAGGCAGATCATTACACATGGTCGTAGGAGCAAACTGGAGATACAGGCAGTCCCCGACTTAAGCAGATCCGACTTATGTCGGATCTGCAGTTACTCCGGGCGAGAAAAGCTGCTCTGCGTCTCCCTGGTCTGCAGATCAGGAAGACGCGGAGCAAAGCTGCTGACCGAGCCTCCCCCCCTGCGGCTTTGCAAAGCCTCGGGGAAGCCGGCAGCGATGGAGCAACCCAGCAGCACCCCAGGTGCTCTGCCCCAGGCGTCCTGATTTAGCCGCTGCTGAAACTGACCAGCGCTGACTACAGGAAGCCCGAGGCAGAGTTGCTCTGCCTTGGGCTTCCTGGAATCAGCTGCTGATCAGTTTCAGCAGTAGCTGACTTGGGGACGCTTGGGGTTCTTAAGTTGATTCTGTATGTAAGTCAGAACTGGCGGTCAGATTCAGCAGTGGCTGAATCTGGACACCAGTTCCGACTTGCATACAGATTCAACTTAAGAACAAACCTACAGTCCCTATCTTGTACGTAACCCGGGGACTGCCTGTATAGTAATTTCTACAACTAAACTAGCTGCTGCTAAATGTGCTGTGGTAGCACTCTTTAAAGAAATGGCATAATCTAAAGGGGGCATATACTCGGGGGTGCATATCGGTAAAGGTAAGAGGGTAAAATCAAACAGCCAGTCTATAACAGCAAGCTTTTCAGTGTCTCTTAATGTGGTTATATCACTTCTAATAGAAGTATATTGGTGTGGCTAGTCATAATTATAATGGTTCTATTTGTCACTTAAGGAGCCTATTGTGTGAAAGCTTACTTTTATTCTAGCTGACTTATTAGCTAATCTTGCAGTGACTATTTTTTTCTCTAACACTCAAACTGTAGACAGATTCTGCTGTTTTACAGAGAATATATACAATTACTCTCTTGGAAAGATAAATTGCTAATAACGAGACTTCTTTGTGAAGTGAGATACCCCAGTCAGGTTACAGTGAGGAAAGGTATAGCAACTTCTTTCTGAAATTCTTACAATAAGAGGAAACTGTTGCATAACATTAAATCTTACTTACTGACCTAGGGCCAGTATCCTTAGGTAGAAAACATAATAGGTAAGGGATGTCCTGTTTGCGCCCAACAGACATTCATAGTCCTGGGCATTTGCCTGCTTGCATCTCATCCTCCACTTTTCTAACTGGGGAGGAAGACCTTAAGGTGTATATCAAGATCTTTGTTCTCTGATAACAATGGCAGAGCCATGAACTGGAACCACAGTATAAGAGTGAGAGCAAGTAGAACCAGGCAATTACTCCCCCCTCTCCCCCAATAGCACAGAATTGCTGCTGTAAAGTATATGGACCGTCTGTAGGAACTGGCACTTATTGGGGAAGTAGAAAATACCAGTCTTTAAAAGCTACATTCTATACAAACTAATTGGTGCAGATATGAAGATTTAATTAAACAGTTGGATGAAACCTGTACGTATCACTGCCACTGCCCCCTTATGCTCGTTTGTCTGATTCCTAGAGGAACAGTGGAACTGCATACTTAAGGCTTTTTAAGAACCCTCCCTCAACACTTTTTTTTTAAGCTGTGACATTTTTGGAAAGACCATCACTTTTCTTAAATACTATCACTTATGAATTAAACCTACTATGCCTATAATTGGTAAAGTAGGGACCATCTGTAGGTATCATTGGGGTCTTCCCTATATTCTTTTTAATGAAAGTCCATTTTAGATCTCACTCTTCTCTTGCTTTTGCATCACAGCCAGCCTCTCTTCTTTTACAGCAAAGATAGAATTGGTGATTGCTGTATGTAAAGTTATGGACAAAATTCTAGTCTACAGCTATGAATGGGAACATTATTAAATGTTCACCCCCACAAAGCAGTTGGGTAGAAATACTGTCCTTCTGTTAAAGTTATCAATTTGTAAACAGGAAGTCTTTTAAAAGAAATATATACACATTACTCCTTCTTGCTATTGTTTGGAATACATTCTTCATCCTTGTTCACTGTCTGTATTCTGCAGCTTGTAGGATGACAACATTGTAACATCCCTCACTCTTTCTCCTTTTCACAAACTTGTTTCTAGGTGGGCAGTTCTTGGTTACAGCAAGAATCAGTCATGACCACATAGTTTTTTAACATGCCCTTTACCTAGCTGCATAAACCTAGATTCAGTGCTTTACAATTGATTTGTTCCCAGTATGAATACATGTGTCTTCCTCCTCCCCCCCCCCCCCCCCTGTATTGTATTGGGAAATGTAGACAACTTTGATGACCCATGCTGCGGATGTTGAGTATTTTCCTGATTGAGTTCTGGGAATTTTAATATGGGGGAGGGCAGTCCATCATAGAAGGTAAGGCATTTTTGAATGGAGTCCTAACTATATGTTTATGATGGGATGTTAAAATGATTAGCAGGGTAAATCATAGTAGTTAACCATTTTAACTAGGACTCTTTGCCCAACCCTGCCACCTGCCTTGCTGGCCCCACTGTAGCTTGGGGCTGTTCTGTCTTGCGTGACTGGCTGCTGTCAGATTTAACTAGCAAGGGCTAGCTAACTGGTTAACATCCCTAATCTAGAATGTGTCTTGTGACCCAACAAAATAATTCAATCAAAACAAACAGGTCAGCAGCCCTAATAGGGGGGTAATCTTAAGTGGTAGAAAATGGACTGAGTTGTTGAAGTTCATAGACCTATTTATTGCTATTCTCTGAAAGGATGGATAGGGAGGAAACCCTAGATCTATCCTTGGACGGACGTGTGTGTGTGTGTGTGTGTGTCACTGAGGCAGTATTAGAAGTGTTAACTATCCATCTCCACCTAGCTGGTGTGGTTAGAAACAATCCTAGAAGGGAGCTGAAGGGCAAAACTGAAGGTAAACAAGGCTTGAACTCTAACTGGACCCCATAGAAGAGGAACAGTAGTGTTTTTTTTTTTTTTAAACCATACAAAGAAGAATTCAGTGATTGCTGGCTGGGTTTCTAGTTTACCCTTTCTGACCCTTGCTAGTGAAGCAGCATAGTGATATAAGCCTTATGCTCCATCAGCTGTCTGTCCTGGGAGACTGAAGGAGAGGTGGAGATAGCTTGGAGTTCCATTACAAGAAAATTCCAATCAGTTTTTACCTTCTGTGAAAGTGATGGAAAATGGTTGCTCAGAGCTTGGATTGAACCAACCAAAATTCCACTGCACTAGTTTAAGACTCCCAGTGAGGACGTATGATACAGGTAGTATGCTAAACTCAATCCCAGATAAAGTAAGTGTGTGTGTGTGTGTGTGTGTGTGTGTGTGTGTGTGTGTGTGTAAATATTGATGCTAACAAGGTAATAGGAAGAGTAACTTGTCCCTTATCCTGTTCATATTAAACAAATGCAGGGCAGAGCTTATAGTTTTAGGGAAATGACTAATAGAAGTGATAAATTCTACTACTAAAGTCACAGGAAATTAGTTAATCTGTCTACATCTTTCCATTACCCATGAAAGCTATGGTTCATCTTCCCTCCTACCAGTTTTATAAATTGGAGTTTTGGTTGAAAGACTAAACTGAACAAACAGCACAAAAATGTAAATCCCCCTTCAAAACAAAGTCCACTTGTGACATGAAAGTGGCAAATGTAGCACACAGATGGACTACTTATGGATGTGAATAGTGTGGCTTGCTGACAGTTCTGAGATGCTCTCTTCTCCCCCCCTCCCCCCCAGCAGGTATTTTGCTCTTTCTGGAATTGATCTGAGAGAAGCTAACTGGTGGCTTCTCCCATGTAGTTATAAAATTGGCCATTTAGGGGGGGGAGGAGGTGTAGAGGACCAGTGTGAAAAGTCTTTAAATATGTTTGCTGGAGAGGCTATTATAGACCAGAATCTGGCTTGACCATCTCAATGTAGAACAATGGAAATAATTCTGAATTTTCTTCAATTCAGGGCTGAAATCATCAGTCTTTTGTTTTGGCCTGGACTGTGGGGCTGTGGCAAGTATAAGTGAGCCCTGGTGACCACATTCAAAAGGGGTAGTGTGAAAAGTCTTTAAATATGTTTGCTGGAGAGGCTATTATAGACCAGAATCTGGCTTGACCATCTCAATGTAGAACAATGGAAATAATTCTGAATTTTCTTCAATTCAGGGCTGAAATCATCAGTCTTTTGTTTTGGCCTGGACTGTGGGGCTGTGGCAAGTATAAGTGAGCCCTGGTGACCACATTCAAAAGGGGTCATGAGTAGGGATGAGAGTCCCATACAACAGGAAATTGATTAAGCAGGGACATGTAGGGGCTACTTCAGGCCCTGCAGAGAGCTGCTAGTTACCCATTAACAGGTGATGTATCAGCCAGTGTATGTGAGACTGAAGGGAAGGATCTGTCCCAGAAATGATCAGCTAACATGCTTTGTCTGGCTCTTAACTTTGCTGTAACCTTGCATCTCTAATATGATACTATGAGCACTATGTAAAATAGCAAGAAGGGCAATCCAAAAGGAATCAAGTCCAAGTATTTCCATGTTGTGTTGGGGTGGGGGGGAGTTTCTTTAGAACATGCCTGGGCAAAATACCTGTCATGGGCTAGATCTAGCCTGCTGAGCTGGCTTATGGATGCAGCAGCGAGCCTCAGGCAGAGTGCTAGATTGCCACCTTCCTCCTCCCCAGTCATGCTATTGAGGAGCAGCTATTGTGGGGACTTGTTTGTACAGCTGTGAGCCCTGAGGAGGAGAATGCTGCCCCAATCCCATTGGCCAGCTTCCAGCCAATGGGAGCTGCCTGTTAAACAGGCAGCTTGCAAAGTACCTTCCCTCAGGCTCATTGCTATTCAAAAACCACATGGCCCCTGCAGCCAGGGCAGGGAAGGCAGCTTTCTTGAGAAGGCTGCTGGCTGGGACTCACAGGTAAGTCTTCCAGCCAAAGCCTGTCTTTGGCACCCCAACCCTCTGCCCCCATCCCCAGGTCAACCCCCTCTTGCCTAAGGACACAACCCAAACCCCTGCACCTTATGTCCCCTAACCCAGGTCATAACTGCCTCCTTCACCCAAACTCCCTCCCAGACCCCCCCTCCACTCTCCTGCACCCCAGTCCCTTACTATAAGCTCTCTTCTGTACTTAACCTCCATCCCAGACCACCACACCACCTCCAATGATATGGAAGAGTGCAGCCCTTGATCACTTTCCAAATTCTTGGGAAGCTCCCTAGCAAAAATTATTGCCTACCTCTACTTTAGAGGCTAATGTAAATACATTTCTGCTAAAGGAGCCAATCTTGAAACTGTTCGGACCATCTCGACCTTTAATTTTTTTTAAGGTAATGAAGGCGCCTCAGTCAGTTTCATTAAATGAACATTGGGACCTCTGTGCCCAATCCACTAAAACCACTTAACTCATCTATAGCCAGATGGATTTTTTTTGAGACAGTTTAGATGGAAAAATAAGTCTACTGACTTTTCTGAAGCTGTACACATTAGAGGTATGTCATCTTTGTCCATGGTGCAATCTTTATTGCTCCAGAAAACTTCCTTTCTGGAATGGTAGACTTCATCAGGCAGGGAAGACAACAGCCAGCAAGATATAAGTAAGCACATGCTCCCTGGTTACCAAAGAATCAGATGTTTGCAAAACTACCTTGTTATAGAAGATGCAGTAGTGTATGTCACTGTTTTGTGCCTCAACAATAAAAGCTTTCTAACAGCATAGAACATACATGCAGAAAGACAGACACACATGTACTGCTTAATTTGACTCAAAGGACTTTTTTTTTCTTCCCTATCCTCATCCAACATCACTGAGGCAAGAGACTGGAGCTTAAGATAACTAAGCCCAATTCTGAAAGTGGTGCTTCACTGTAGTGGCAATATTAGTCATACTATAAAATAGGAAGCAGTAAGTAGGGTGGAGAAAAAAAATCTGGTTTCCATCTCCCTACCTCGTTCTTTTAGCATAATAATGGTACAGGCTGAAGTCTTATTTTTGGCAATTGGAGGATCAGGCTGCTTTTGTTAATTTCAGTTACATGGAAAGCCCTCAGAACTCATTTGTATTAGTTTTACACTCCAGTATATTCCAAACATTTTGTAGGCTGTCCTAATACATGTCAAATGCCTCACAGGGAGACAGTAAATTCTTGCATATACCTAATGCAAACTTCTGTTTTTATAACATGCGATACCTGTTATGGACAGTGGCCTGTGTAACTTTAGATGGGGTTGCAGGCAGGGATGTAAAGGGTTAATCAGTTACTGGTAATCATTCATCTTACTGACATGCTTACCAGGGAATCTGGTTAATCAGTGGCCCAGCCTGGACAAAGCAGCCCTTCAGCCTGCCTTACTAGTTAAACCAGTTAAACATAGTTTAACTTTTTTTTAAACAGGATTTTACAGCCCTAGTGGCAGGGACTGCCACAAAGCTCTTGTATATGTGAAACAGGATGGAGCTTGATTTGTTGCCAAAAATTTGGGCCAGCTCTTTAAAGAGCAAGTTATCTTGTGGTTGGTTGGTGGAGTCACGGTTGCAGTCTCACTCACTAGCCCATGGGTGCCTTTCCCATTTGCATTAGTTGACACTCCAACCACCAGCGTATTTAGTAAATCTAATAATTTCACTTGGTAGAACCTTAACTTTCTTTGGTACCCCCCTTGCTTTCAAAGGGAAACAGGTCATTGACCTAAGTATCAGATCAGGTACTTAATCATCCAGAACAATATTCATCAAGGATATCAGCTAGTGTAAGAATTCAGCAAATTATAAGTGGATGTGGAAATACTTGCACCTATTAGCCAAAAGAAATTACACTTAAATTGGCTTACTACTTCCTTGTTACAGGGATAACTGGTGTCTAAGAAAATAGTGCTGGAAGACATTGTGTAGTCCTTTCAGAGGCTTGAGAAGGTGGTGGATTGGGAGAAAACACCCAGATAAGGCTAAACTATAAAGTAAGAGAGTAGGGCTAGGACCTAGTTTAGTTGGATAATTTCACTTTCTGCTTACAACTGTTCATATTAATGTTTAGGAATTGTGCATTGTAATTTATAATTAGATATGGATGTCATATTATAACCTTATTTTGATGCACATTAAAATGCTGTAGCTGACATGACCTATGAGAAGACATCAAAATCTGTTTACAATTTCAGCAGTAAATTTGCACGGTATGTTCACTAAGCCTTCCACTTCAGTGTTTACAAACATCTAAAAATGATACTATAGCATTTATCTAGCTTGCAGAAAATACACAGGATGACAGATACAATGCTTTTATTTTACAAAAAAAAGGGGGGGGGGAGAGTTGGTAAAATGCTGTAAATAAATGGGTAATGTGCCACTAAATAAAGCTACATATCCCTTGTAAATACTTAAATATCTACAGTACTACAAACATCAGAATAATTCAATTTTATCAGGTCAAAAAAATACAGTGATTATGAATGTGCCTTGACCAGTTACAGAGCTTGTTAAGGTAATAACATAACTACTGTCAGCAGTCTAACAGTGTCTACAGTGCCTTCAATTAATGAATTTCAGCATAATTACATTTCTAGTGGGGTTCATTTCCCCAAGAAAAGGCAAAGCTAAGACTTTAATATCTACATTCTAAACTCTGCAATTAGAGCCCAGTTTAAAAAAAAATCACAGTGGGTAAGAGATGCATATAAAAATATTGGGTGTTCCTTTCAAATCATCAGGACTCATGGGACTACATTCATATTTCTTTTACAAAATACTATTTAACACAATCCTGTTCTTTTTATGCTATCATGACAATGAACTATAAGTATAGTGCAGGTTTGCATGTTTTGATACTTTCCTCTTCCTTTCATTTTTCCCCTCGGTAGTCCCAATTCCTGAGGTGTAACAAGTTATGAAGATACTTGCACAATGCTGTCACACCCCTTTTCTTGAATTCAGCAGACTACACAGACTGCATGTTATGTATTCTACAACCAATAGCCACTATTCCCCTTTTCCCCATTAGTTTTGTACATCTATACTCATAACAGTGCATTGCATGAATGTACAAGAAAAATACTGGTTTTGCACTATACAGTTTCTAGAATATATACAGAATAAAATAAGTTAACTTTCTTCTAAGGAGAAATGCTGATGGGCAGCATATATATTTAATATACATTTTAAAGTCTCTGCAGGCAGCTACTTTTTGGTTAGTTGTTAATATTTATAACATAAGCACTGATCAGAGAACTGAGCAGCATTCCAATAAAATTAAGATATATTATTTCTTTTAGAAACACTGGGGAATCCCAGTTTAAAATATTATTAAATGTCCTAACATTTACACACTATGAGGATTAAAACTAATAAAATAAAATTTATCAAAAAATAATCTTGCATTGCTCTTTCAGGCATGCTCTGAGACTTTGTCAACAAACATCCATACTTTCAAAATGTAATGGTCACATATCCATTTCAACTCACACAATTCCTCATGACAGACAAAACAAAAAGCAAATAAAACATTAAGAAATCAATGGTTTTTGCAAAGTCTTAAGTCTTTTTTCTGCTCATGTATGACTTGCACATTCTTCATGGCATTGCAAAGTGTATCATTAGACATTAGCTGATTACAGTTACTGCTGGAAAAATCAGGAAATCTTGCAGGTCTTCAGCCAAAATAAATCAGCCTTGATTTCAGCCTCATCCTACCTGCTTTACTTGTCTCAACATTTGGAGACCATTACTGCAACAGAACTTATAATTCTGTTTCTACAGAAAATAATGCATGTATATGCATTGCTTTTAGCCCTTTTCCTTTAATATAGTTTGTGTGTATAATAAAAAATAACTACCACCCACACAGCTTTCTTGTGTGGAAACAGCAGTCCATAAAGTGTTACCTCCATTAGTTTTGTAGATGACATTTCTTGTTATGTTAAAATTCTGTATTGGCCATCAGTATATTTTTTTAAATGAAAGGTGCTTGGTAATGTTGAGGCATCCTTAACTTTGCTTCTTTATTAAATGAAAAGCTGTTCAGAATCCAGTGCTCACCATATTTCCTACAGGTTTGGCTTTTGCTAGAAGCTGATAGGATTGAACCATGCGTAGAGACTCTCGAATTTCTAAATTAAGTTCCATCAGTTTTGAGCTGACTTCTGACATGTCTTGGTTATAGCCTATTACTGCAAAGCTACCAGTCTGGCCCAGTGTCTGATGACGAAAATATATATGCAACAGCGTTTGTATTGGGTCGTCTTCAGTGCTGCCGAATATGTCATTGGGCCAAATAGACCTGTGAACATACAATTTAAATATTTTAATCATTTTCTTTCAGAACAAAAAAATTAATTATTTAACATTACTTTCATTTTTCTTCTCAAGAATACATGTGTGTATGTATATATGTAGAGACAGAGAGGAAAAGAATGTAAGAAGAACTCTAAGGTGCTAGTCTTATATTTATGAAATGTCATTTTCTTACAAGGTAACATTACATTAAGTTTATATTAACTGTATCCTTTGAAAAATAATCAGAACTACCCTCAAGTGACAAAAATGCATAAGAGAAAAAAAAACATAAAATAATCAGTTTTGTCCTTTTCAACAAGGACATCTAGCAAGATTTGAAAAAAAATTGGAATCAAGCCAATGTTTAAATTAAAAATGTCTGTTATCAAACTGAGTGCCGCTCTAAAAGCATATTAGTTTAAATCATTTCACATTTTACCTGAAAGCCTTGACCTGTGCTACAGCTGCTATAAATTCCTTGTTTCTCAAGGTTTCAATAAGAGAATGAATGGCCGTTTCTGTGTTTGCTTGGGAAGCTTCTGGTATTTCAGTTTCTTCAATACCACTGTCTGAGGCAGATTCAGCCTCTTTCAGACAGCTCTCGAGCTGGGCAAGTTCTTCTGACATGTTTATAACCTAAAACACACATGGAGAATTGAGCTCTTCTGAATCAAAAACTCATTTCAGTCAAAATAAATGTTGCAAGAAGATAGGGATGTGTCCTCCCCTCCCCTCCTATTCATGACAACATACTGACAAGGGCACTGGTGTGGCCACTTTGCCCAAACACTGTTGCATATGGATGATTACATGGTTCAAATACTTGTAAAGAGCATATGAGTTTTCCCATAATCCATCCTCCTTAGTCAGCTCTTTAGAATTCCTTGCAGGAATTCATACCTCATAAGCACACTGTAATTGGTGGGCCACAGATCCTTCCAGCTGTAGCCATTTATTAACTCAACGGGAAGAAGCAACCTCTTTTGTAAGAATGAAATAAAGTGGAAATTATTCCATTTAAACAGAGAAAATCTTGAATGCACAGAAATTTAAAAAAAAATCATGTGTGTGTGTACAAAGAGTGACCTAAACACAATCGTGTGTTCCAGAGAATGCATATATTGCAGTGCTGTTCCTGAGCTTGCATTTAATCTGCCATGGTCTACACAGGAAGCAAACCCAAGATCATAATTCCCCAAACGTGACAGGTGTGAAAGAACACTCCCTTAGCCACAGAGCACAAGAAAGACACGACATTTATACTCTGAAGTGCTTCTGTGGCCGACATGGTGACTGGCGGTCATTGGGGATAAATATGCATGCCCAGTTGCCATAGCATCTGCTGAATGGGAGACAACCAGTTTTATAAGCATTACCCAATGTTATCATCAAATGTGCATACCTTGGATCTCCTGAAAGAAAATATTCAGATCCCCCTTATGGGTCGGCGTGTGTGTGCACGTGAGGGAGGACTGGGGATCCAGGGATAGGGAGGGGCTTAAGGAGAAAAAGGATAAGTCTACACAGCAAAAGCTGTTCATGGGTTAGCCTATCTGAGCTATGTTGAGTCACGTAGGGAACGTCTACGCTGCAATGCTATTTTGGGAAACCGGAGTATCTCAAAATAGCTATCCCCTGTCTTCATAGCAAGACTATAATTTCATAGCAAGCCTATAATGTCTCTGTAAACCTCATTCTGCGAGGAGTAAGGGACATTTCGGAATAGTGCTTTATTTTGAAATTCAGCGCTGTGTGGACTGTACCAAATGACAAAATAAGCTATTTTGAAATAGCATGAAATAAGATACACAATTTGCATAGCTCAAATTGTGTATCTTATTTTGAGTTAGTGCTATGTATATGCACCCTTAAAGTGGAAAAAAAAAGCAATGAACTCAGCATAGCATAAGCTTCAGAGCAGGCTAGTGAGCTGAGTACATATTCAGATTCTGTCCTGAGTTTGTACTTAAAGTTGCCAATTTTCTGTTGGCAGAAAATAAACAGCACTGCCCCACCCATTTTTCTACCCCTTCTCCGAGGCTCTTCCCTTCTCCTGCCATCACCCTCTCTCCTCTATCCTTACTTACTCCTGGGATGAGGTGCAGGTAGGGGTGAGAGCTCCAGCTGAGGACACGAGCTCTAGGGTGGGGCCAAGGATGAGGGGTTTGGTGTGCAGGAGGGTGCTCAAGGTTGAAAGTTAGGGTGCAGCAGGGGGACAAGGGTTTGGGGTGTTGGAGGGGGTTTGGGCTCCAGGCAGCACTTATGGCAGGTGGCTTCTGGAAATGACAGCATGTTCCATCTCTACTTCTTAGGTAGAGACATGGTCAGGAGGCTCCTCTCACTGACCCATAGGTGTCAGCCCCACAGCTCTCATTGGCTACAGTTTCCAGCCAATGGGCACTGTGGAGCCAGCTGGAGTTATAGTGGTCTGGTTAGCAGTGTGGAGCAGAGCTGTCATCATCTCTTTTCGACCAGGCATTCCAACTGAGAACTGGACACGTGGCAATCCTACTTGTGCTACCTGCATCAAAGTCCACACTGCTGTCTTCACTGCTATTGTTACCTGTGGTAGCTGGATTCCTGCTACCTGTGTGCAGCTTTGAGTGACAGCTTTAAAACCATTTCTTCTTCTTTAAGAGGCTAGTTGCCCTTTCAACTCAGCAAATTTTTAAAAATGCCTCTCCAGGCTTTTTTAATCAACCTTCTGCTGTAAAAACCTTTATTAGCACCTTTTTTAAAAAGATATGTCACTAATTTTGGGTGCCTCTTTTTTGTATTTTCAACTTGATACATCTGATTCCTGATTTTAGTTGTGCTGAAGTCATATAACAGCTTCTTATATAGATATGAAAAAATGGGTTATATTAATCTGAAACTTGAAAATGACTTTAAAGCTGTAATATTAATTGCAAACTGATTATACAACTATATACAGATGAAAAGATACTGGGGAGGCAGAAAGTCTTTGTAACAATCTTCTTGGAGTTGATGTTCCTCATTTATTGTTTGATTGGTATACACCAACAGTGACACAAACATTTAAAATCCTTGAATTTTATAAGACCATTGAGCTCCCCGCATTACTATGTATTAAAGAGCTTTCAAGTAGTCCAAGGATCAACAAAGATGTAATTCAATGACTGGGAAAATAATTGCAAGTTCTAATTAAATCTTTTATCTCTTGGCTACAAAACAGCTGGACATGCATATCTCCATATTCAAGAGAGATGAACCACTGATAAAAAAAAGTTATAAAAAGTTACATTGTTTCATGGGTATTGCTTTTGAACAAACAATTCATGGGTATTGCCAATAACAGGTCGCTAAATAATATGATTTCCTTTACCTCTGCCTCTGTTTTGATTGCATCTACTCTGCTGATAAGTTTGCAATAGGCTTGGAACAGAAGCAGCAACTGGAAATGCAACTTGTATAACCGTCGACACAACTCCAGCTCCTACAAATGTAAATAGCAACATTATATTAAATTCAAGGAGTGCTGCTCTACCAACATATGACACAATCCGACAATAAATCACAGCCAGCTTGTCCAGCAGAGAATTTACAATATTAAAAATAGTTATTTGCTTGCTGCACAGAAGGAAATGTCAAGAAGATTTACAAGCCAATGTAGTGAGAAGCTGATGAAAGCTGATGAAAACTACATTCAGGATGAGATTGGTAATTAGAAATAAAGTAGTATTGCTCTTGCAAGTTAAACTTTTACGAAAGGTGATCACATTTCCAACAAGAAAAAAAAGATTCAAATGACATTTCAAAATGTCATGCTCCAGTAGGAAATACACAGATTGCTTTATTTCTTTTGGCTGTTTTGTCAGTTTAAACAGTAGATATGATACCAAACAAACAATTGAGATTTATGAGTATGGCTTCTTTTCCCAATGTTAATATGAACAGTTATACTATTACCCCTAGTGTTAAGGTTACAATTGCATGACAGAGCAAGAGGAAACAAATTCAATTCTTAGACATAAGAATAATGTTTCCTTATGAAAGCTTGTTATGATTGTATTTTAAGAAATATGAATCTGATGGTATATTCTTATTGGAATGGCACAGCAATATTAACTTACATATTTTTATCCAAAACAGTAGTCATTGAGAAGGCAATGTTAATATTGCTTTATATTTAGTCAGAGAAGCCACTATGAATGGAGGCATCTGCTATTAATTTGTAATAACTACAGGATCATATCATCTATAAAGGACCACTAGTTCATGAGTTAGGACTATACAAAATTGAAGCACACAGTACTTTCATAATATTCTATGACAAGACATTGCTATGTCACAAATGGACAAGAGACAGATGGAGACCAGTTTGTTGACTGGCATGGTTAAATATTAAATAAATCAAGAGCCATCACTTACTGCTAGAATTTCCATTTGCTAAGCAAGAAGGTGAGCGGGTCACAAAAATACAAAGGAAGAAAAAGATCAAGAATTAGTGTAGGAAATTATTTTAATTAGGGTCATAGATGTCCCAGGTAAACTGGAGGAAGAAATGTATCTACCATTCTCAAAAGGTTCATTGAATGGGGAAAATGTCAGGCTGAATACAAAGTGAAATTACTAAACATTCATTGATATAACTGACAAAGAGTAACTTTTTTTCTTGCTGTCCAAAAACCTTAATAAAAATATACTTCAACATTGCCACAGGAGGAGCTTGGATTTATTTATGTATAAATATTTATATAAACCATCAGAAACCAGAACAATTGGGGTTTATCATCTCTACAATCCATTTTCCTTAATCCATGCCATCATATTTGACCATGAGAAGTGGTCCCCCGCCCCGAAAACTTTTCCTTTGCCCCATGAATTTAAGGTGTTAGTCACTCTGGATTTTAAGTCAACTCAGAAAGTCTTTGTTTTAGAGTTTTTAACTAAGACCTTTATAATACATCACTGTAAGATTTTCAGTCTCATTTCCCTCTTGGATTGTGCATATGCTGTCTTAGAAGAAGAATGTATGCATGTGGGGGTGGAGGGAGACGCCAGGAAAGCATTTTTGGCTATGTCTACACGTATAGTGGCATGTAAAGTACATACATACTGCTTGGACCCATAGGATGGGTATAAATAACAATGTGCACAGCATGAGCTTGTATATTTGCTATTTGTACACTTGCAGTGTGAGCCTCACAAGCCTGAGTCAGTTGAAGTGCACTCGGATTTGCTGCTGTACTTTTTTTTCTGCATAGATACACCCTTAGTGACCAACAGAGAAGAACTGAACATGCCAGGCAGGGTCTATTATTATTATTATAAATCAAAAATGAAAAAGGCATGAATTTCTAAGGGGAATATAGGCTTAAACAAAGCTATTCTAAAAATGAAATGAAGTTCTAGTGTGAAAAATGGTATTATGTGGTTTTATATTTTTTATCTCTCAATGATTTTTACATCAAATTTACTAAGTTTATAGGTAACATAATTTTTTAATTTTAAATTTGCCAGTCCTGCAAACTTAGACTGGAATCTGACATCAAGATGCTTTCTTTCTGTCTCCACTGTCATCACTTTTAATAAACAATTCTATAACTGGATTTAGTTAGCAATTCTGTTGATGATGCATATGCCAGAACAGAATTCAGCTCCTTATCTCTTAGTTGTACTGATGGCCGTGCTACAAATTAGGAGAATCTTATTATGTCAATGAACTAAGCAGATCTATTGAATGAGGTGGCATTTTTCTGGCCAAAGCAATATTTTAATGCTCTGTACATTAGTTGATTACTTTAATAATCTATTAACATTTCATGCCGTTTAGAATTTTTTCTGAAACAAGTGTCACATTCAGTAATCCACAATAGTTCCTTCAAGTCATTTCTAAATATATTTAGAAAGTCTGTAAAAGGTGTATTTTTTAAAAATACCTCACCTTCCTTTGTGAGAGTGAATAGGTGTATGGGTACTATGTTTTCAATTTTTTTAAATTTTAGGTAAATGTATAATCCAGTGAAGAGTCTTATTATTAGGAGATAGCTTTGACATTAACTTAGTATGTGGCCTCAGGCAAACCATCTACCCTGGGTTTCTTCAAAGGTGCCTGAGGGAGTTGGACGCCCAACTGAAGGTTAATTTGAGTTGGGCACCTAACTGCCTTGAGCCCCTCTGACAACCTGATCTTCACTCTTTTCAGAGAAAAAACCCTCTGCTTTTCTTGAATCCTATGCACCCCTCGCTGGTTCTAACAGGTCTGGACACTTCTGAAGTAAGCAGATGTGCTTGAATAATTTGTATAATGGGGGTGCCGAGAGACCACAAAATGGCAAATCTATCTGATAGAAATCACTTCAAGCCTGGGGGTGCAGCAACACTCTCAGCACCCCAATTTCCAGCATCTGTGTAAGTAAGGGATGAATTTGCCCTCCATTTCTGTTTCCCCATCTATAAAGCAGCAATAGTTAATACTCACTTCCCTGATGAGTACATTGGGAGAACTAATTCATTTTTATAAAACATTTTGAAAATATAAGATGATATAGAAATACAGAGAACTATTTCATTATTATATAGGTAAAATATGTAATAAATCTCTAGGATATTGTGTAAGTAAAGTGTATATCTACATATTCTTTTTATACAATGATACACATCAAGGAAGATATTAAGGTGTAAACAGTTTTAATGTGCACTAAACATCCTTGTGAACAGTAGCTTGTGTGCTTAGCCATTTTTCTAAGGTAAATATATTGGCCATTTTAAATTATTTTTTAAAATTCTTAATGCAGGTTTAGATGCAGAATTAAGCTTCTGTTCCAATATTGTTTTAATTTAAAAACAAAACCAACAACATCTGAATTGGGATTTTTAAAAAACTTGGATAGCTTAAATGGGCCCAAATAGAATATTGTGAAAAATGAAGAAAAAAATCTTTTAAAGCCTGAAACCCTGTTTACAAAGTGGGAATCTTTACTGATGAATACATGATTTCTTTTAAATAAATATTAATGACAGACATAAGTTTGGCATCACCAACAGTGCTACTGCATGGATTTTGTTTTAAAAAAAATCACATTCTTATAAACAGATTTGATAATGGAGTAAAAAGAAAGAAAATGCTTTCCCTTTCTAGGTTTGCCAACTTTTTAACTACAGAAAACCAAACACTCTTGTCCCATCTCCTGCACTACCCTTTCCTCAAGGTTCTCCCCCCTCTCCGTCACTCATTCTCCCTCACCCGCTTATTTTCACTGGCCTGAGGCAGGGGGTTAGAATACAGGAGGGGGTGAGGGCTCTGGGTTAGGGCTGGGGATGAGAGGTGTGGGTACAGAAGGAGGCTCTGGGTTTAGATGCACATGGAGCTGTGGGCTCTGGAATGGAGTTTGGGAATGGAAGAAGGCTCGGGGCTCAGGCGCAGGCTCTGGGCAGTGTATCCTTCAGATGGCTGCCAGCATGTTTCTCTGGCCCCTCACTTCCAGCCAATGGGAGTTGTGAAGCCAGCCCTTAGGGCATGTATGTATTCTGAATTACCCAAAGGAGAGAGGGGGCATTTTCTTCCTTTTTACCTTCCCTGTTAAATCTTTCTATGAAAATAATTTTAAAAATCTATTATAGTTATGTCTTTCATCATTTTTATTACAGGATCCTACAGAGCATAATTAAACCCATAGACCAAAGGCAGTAAAATAGTGTATATGCTTGGATCCTCCCTCTTCACTGCCATTTTACAGTGGGAATATTATCCATTTTTTTAAAAGAAACAAACCTTGTCCCAAGTAGACGAGGCTATTATACCCATTACCAGGGCTTGACAAACGGCAGTGAAACCTACTCGCCAGCCCTGCATTGCGCATGCGTGTGCCGCCGGTAACGGGGTGACCGGCTGAAATCCACAGTGATTTGTCGAGCCCTGCCCATTACAACAATTAGTACAGCTAGTGTTAAAGATGCAGGTGATTCTCATGCAATGTATTATTCATGCATATTTTTTACAAGTACAACCTTCAACTAATAACAATGGGTTGTTTCATATTAGATAGTAATTAGCAAAATAATGTTTGACAAAGTTTCTGTCGTGCTGCTACTTTAAGAATAAAACAACAATAAAGCAAAATATTGTTCCAGACAGGTCATACATATGTATATGGTACTAATTATATGAGATTCAGTACAGTTTTTTGGTCAGACAATAATCTGACAAGAACAGAAACAGAATGCTAATTATTTTTCTTCTAGAAACAACTGCATAAAAGCCAGACTTGCTCTGGTACACAGATTGTATCTACCCTTCTTATCTAACTCAGTGTTATTAAGCCTTGAACCGAGACTGGTTGCTCACTTTCATAAACGACAACTTTTCATTATTAGGCCAATACTTCATAAGAATCTGAGTTTCTAAAAGATGGCTTGATAACTGAAATGAAAAGCTGTACAACATTTTTCAATCCCCAGGAAGATCAAAAAAGGACTTTTGTGCAGAATACAAGTTTTTTATTTTAATAAACTCTATGAAAGCTTCTAAAGAAAAACACCTACCTGAGCATTTGTATTGGTTCTGTTTAGGCCATCATCAGCACCAAATGTCCTTTTGCAGTCATCTAGCCACTACAAAATAAATAAGCAATTAAAAGTATTCTGCAACACAGAGCAAACCAAAGATACTAATAAAAATACCAAAAACCTATATTGTTACGAATACCTTTCAATATACCCAGATTATCATTGAAATTATTTAATCAATACAGTCTAATTTTTCTCATTTTGTTTAATTCCAGTTAAAACTATCTTTCCAATGCCTGTTGCTTGGCTCTTAATTTCTTACCAGAAGATCTTGGAGAGAGACACTCTTTGTTCTGCTAAGAAAAAAAAGCGCTACGTAGCAGTTACTCTGTTCTCTCTACTGAAAATTTCATGTAAGCTTTATTATTCCATAGTGTGTACTACACCCTACCTATAGTACTTTCATTAAACTTGGTGATTGGGGATGCATGGCAGGTAGCAGAGGAAATAGAAAATTCCTTAATTAAATATGCTAAAATAATTTCCATTCAACATAGTGTGACAGACTGCTGGCTAAGCCAGAATTCTGCCACTACAGCCTGGCTGAAAAGGGCAATTGAGGCCTGAGGGGCTAATGAGAAACAGCTGTGGGCCTCATTAACCAGAGGGCTAAATAAGGCAGCCAGACAGGAAGTGAGAGGAGCCAGAGAGTGGCTAGCTTAATTTGCTGTGAACAAAGCTCTGTAAATAGAAGATGGTGGGGAGTTGGCATGGGTGATTGCACCAGAAAGGATCTCCAGGTGATTTGTGGATGAAGGAGTCCCAGGATGAGAGGCCTAGGTGAGGACCTTGCCACAATACTTTTAGAAGAATTCATTATATTATTTCTCAAAACCTTTAATGGCTAAAAAGATGTGTATCTAAAGAACACTTTGAATCAAATTTTGATTTGGTTTAGATAGTGAAAAGATAGAACCTGCCACATTTCTTTGAAAATAGTATATGGAAATGTAATTCTGAATAGCCACACTAGCAGATTTACCTGGCTTTGCTCATGTCTTTAACTCAAATAACTCCCCCCCCCCCCCCTTCTTTTAACTTTTTCTTTCCGGGGGCAGACGGGTC